GAATTCAAAATGACTATAAAAGTGTTAGTTAAGTGTTATAGTCACTTTGGATGTATTGTGACCAAAGTGCACGATTTTCAAATCAGACGAAACTTTTAGCAGCATGTCACAGATTTGCAAAATCACCAAATTCACAAAATACCATTAAGTGCCATTTTATTGTAATCACAATGTTGAAAGCACGTGGCATTTTGCGATATTTACACAACTATTTCTCATTGATATGCGAGTACGGAAGGTCGGTTGAAACATTAAAAAATCGGCAACAAAGCCTTTTTACTGGTTAAATCCGTTGTAATCGCTAATTGTTCTTGTCACCGATCGTTTTGGCGGCGATATCCAGGTTTTGTTAATCTATATTCCCGCCCTCTCTTTTTTACAAATATGAATTCTTGCGGGTCTGCGGCCATCGAAGTTTTATATTTCGGGTTTACCCGTTTGTTCACCTCAACAGCTGTTGAAGACATTGGGGACTCAAATTAACATTTGCGTTGGCTTTAATATTACCTATCAAGATTTGTAAATTTACGTCCCAATTTTATGCGAATGGTAATATTATTGTCGATACCGTGATGCTGATATTTATTAAGACGATAATTAACTTTCTCATGTTTTTCTATGGTGATAAACTTGCAAATCTGAAATTGTGCCAATCCTGAATGTTGATTTAAAATAGTGATTGAATAATTCGGCAATAAAGGCATTTCTGCGTGGTCATAGACGAGATAACGTTAATGAACAGCACTTCTTTTACAGGATATTTTACGTATGCGACTTAATGCTAAAAGATTGGACTCGAGTGCTTTTTTTTTCGAAGAGGTCAGAGCGCTAATTGTAACTAATTCCCTCAAGTTTCAACATGTTTTCAACAAAACAATACCCGGCGATAATTATAGCTAAAATGTTACCGAGCAATTCACAATTTTATTTATGGAATTTGAAATTCACCAGTTTCTTGACGATATTATATGTCACGCCCTAATTATTAGTGCAAAAATACTCCCCTTCTTCCGCGGCGGTTTGACGGTTCTTTGTTCCAATCTTCAGAAATTTCTGACACGGGGATATAGAATACTGAATCCGGAGGGTTGAATCCCTGTCGACTTACTGGTGATTTTCCGTTTTGAATGCGTGGAACATTCTCTATTTTAAATTAAATGACGTTTCGCGGGCTAGAGTTCTCCCCGAAAATGATGTGTACCAGACGTTAGTTAGACGATAGATAAAACATTAGATTAATATATTTCATGACGCCCCGTTTTCGAAAATACAAAATTATATCGCAAAAAAATGCGTTTTGATACATTTGGAATGAAACATTATTTACGGTTAATTCAGATCATATTTTACTCTTCATGACACCCGGTATCCGAAAATACAGTTGTATTGCGAAAAATGTGTTTTGTTACATTTAAAATAAAACATTTTTTCGAATAATTTAGATCATATTTTATTTTTCAGGACACCCGTTTTCGAAAATACAAGGTTATATCGCAAAATGTGTTTTGTTACATTTAAAATAAAACATTTTTGCGATTAATTTAGATCAAATTTTACCTTTCACGGCAACCGTTTCCGAAAATACAAAGTTTATCACAAAAAAATTGCGTTTTGTTACATTTTATTTTGCATTCCCAACAAAATACATATTTTCCCTAATTAAAGTCATCGATGAATCTGTTCCTGTCGGTCAAGCTTGACACACGTTTGGACGAGTGTGGGGCGGTTTTTTTTTGATCGACGATAAATTAAAAAGTTGCCACACGTTATTTGTATAACGATAATAACTGAAAAATTAGATTTTATAATAGAAGTGAATTTGTCTCAAGATGGTATTTTACGATTCTTGCCCACAGAAAATAAACACGCTGACAGGCTTGGTTATAATTGATATTCGTTTAATTTATTTTACACATAATAAACGCGCCACACCAAGTGCGGCCATATGAATTGCAGTCGCATCGGTATGGACTGTATGTTTTTGGCGCTCTCACATTAATTATAATTTCAACAAAACAATACCCCGACGGTCATTGAAGCTGAATTCGTTACGGAGTAATTCACAATTTTATTTACGGAATTCGCAATTTCAAAATCTCACTTGACGATTTTGATGTCATGCCCTAATTATTACTGCTTAAATGCCTCAAAATACAACAAATGTAATCATTTTCGACGATAACCGGCGCAACAAAACGAAATTCGCGATTGTTGCGACTCTCTCTTGTTTACAATTTTAACATCCCGCCGGCCATGTATGGTCGAATAAAATGTTCACATATTCGAAACATGACTTGGCCAAGGATGGAAGGGATCACTAAAGAGCTAATAGAAAGTACATACGCGAGGGTATGATATTAATATCGAGAATATTTGTGAGCATATCACAGGACGGAAAATATTTGCACCCGGCTGTTTGTTGGGCAGAACAACGATACGCTAAAGTTAATTGCTCGAATTACAGGGAAAGTATTTATTTATCATCTCACTTGCGAACATCGAGGTTTGGGCGGGATTGTACGATCATGTTGTCTTTCTTAAATAATAACTTTTTCAATAAATGTTCATTTTACTTTTGCGTCTTTATTATATGTCGGGTTTTCATTAATTTTAAATTCGAAATTGTCCGAAATACTTCAACAGGTGTATAAGTACAATAATAATAGTACTTACCAGGGAAGTTTAATACACACGATGTGTTAAGGGCGTCGTAACTCCCGTTTTTTAATTGATTGTTTTACATTCTGCTTAAAAAACAACGTCGTTTTGCAGGTCATCTAACGTAACTCTCCGCGACCAAATCTTTTTTGTTTTGATATGGCATCGTCTTGGCGACGAATTTATTGCCGACTGAGTTTAATTGTGTTTTAGGATAAGTTATTTTCTGTTTGTTGGTTTTCTAAACTTTACAAACGTGGGGTCGCAATTACTATTAATGTGAGATTTGTGCATATGAACGATTGAATATCGCGACTGGGATGTCCGATATCTGAGAATGCGTATATCAGCGTTTCATGTGGTCGAATAAAAATTATTTATCAAATGGATTGGTATTTCAAGACACTCTCAAAAATTATTTGGGATCCACTATCATATCATTCGTTTATTTATTATATTCATGTTTTTTTCAAGAATCACCCTCGTTATATTTCGTGTACCCTTCGCAAAAGAAAACTCTTTGGTGTCATCCTTCAAATTAGTGTAATTGAAATATATGGAAACCTCGCAAGTGGCGATGTGATGCGAATATTTGATACTAGGTCAGCAGCATTACAAAGAGTGCTATTTATGAATGCTGAAAGTACATGACATTACTAAACATTTCGCCAATATATGATGTTTTCTGCCTGATTTAAAACTAACTCGCACGCAAACCAAGGCATGTCGACATTTAAAAATTACTGGGTCTTTGGGTAAGCTCTGAAATAGTTATAATATAAATGTAAATGAGAAATTAGGTCACGCTAGCTCACGAAAAGGAGAAGATTTTCAAAGTAGTCTTGTGTAATATTTCGGAGAAAAAAGTTTAAAAGGAAAGTAGGCTCAACCTATCTCCTAAAACGGGAGTAGCCTGTGTAATATTTCGAAGGGAACGTAGGTTAAACCTATCTTTTAAAACAGCGGGTGCGCGACTTTCAAAAGTGGTTCAAAATCACAAATTAATAAATTATCAGATTAGGTTTAGGGATAAATCGAAAAGTTGAATTTCCAGCGCACCTAACCCTAATTAGTTGATTGCTATTTATATTTTGGGGGGGGGGGGGTTATTTTGCACGGGATTTGTACAAATGATCCACCCTGTAACTAATATGGTTTCCAGCCTACGTGTATCAATCGTTGTATGTTAGATGGAAGGAGTAACAAATGTGAAAGCCTTTGCTGTTCACGCGAGTAAGCAACTGACACCGTGATACATTGCATGAAAGTTTTGTTCGCGGCAAGTGTTAGCAGATGTCTTTTCGTTGCCGATGAATTCGCTTGTTTTAATTAAACATGAATTCGCTTAAATGGAACTCGGTTAACGGAAAGGCTTCTCTTTAATTCATAATATTAACCGCAGGAGCGCTTTTTCGAGTATCTATGCCGTGTTAAATGGGTTATATGAAAGGCTAGAGCACCTAACTTGTTAAAATCGGCAAAAGCACTTTCGCACTTTTTTTTTCGACTGCGAAGCACTTTCGCACTCATAATTCGCTTAGAGTTAACACTGGTGCACAGATAATTAATTTATGAGCAATTTTTGTTTACAGGCAATAAAAGTGGGGTTGTTTGAGAGCCACGAAAAATTTGGTATTTGTAAGGGTTCCACCGATCATAAAAGTTTGAAAAGCACCGATCTAAACATAAAAAATAATTGACCGGAGACAAAAAACAGGACTAATACAGCCTGAGCACTGAAATATATTATTCTTCGAATCAAACATCTAATGTGGGTAAACTTAAGATCTAGTTTTTTTGCTGTATGTAACTAGAGTATTTCTAAATAGGTTGAAATCAATGGCAGCCCCATCAGGCCTTGTCTTAACCTGGCGCTGCTAATATGGACTTTGGCAGGGCATGTTTTGACATATGTTTAAGCCCAACCTTTTTTAATAAACCTCTCTCATTGCCTACTTCGAAACTCCTATTCCTTCCTCCATAAACATGCCATTTTTATATTTGTTGCTGTGCGGTCCTCCTGAAGTATGTTCACCAAGATGGCGCACAACCTGAACATAGTATGTGTACCTGGTTAGGGTTCAGGTTGTGTGTCATCTTTGTGCACATACTTCGGGAGCTCCTGCTGTGCAGCTTGAATAGTTTGATAATGTGTGCATGAGTATGTTGTACAGAAGTAATAAGTAACTAAACAAATTTATTTAAACTACACTAAAGAGAAAGTCATATTTTCTCCTAAAAAAATCTTTCTTTGGAAAGCATTCCTCTTGTGTTGGGAAACAGTGGCTCGAATCAAACCTTACAAATATTCAATTTTAAAAATCATATCTGTACTTTTACAGGCATGTGAGGTCTCAAGTCTTGGCGCACGCACAGACACAGAGTTATCTGTACCAATACATGAAGGAGAGATAAGAAATGGAGAGCACGAACAGAATTTGGTGAGAGTTGTCCAATTGCCAAAATATAATTTAATACATACATGCATTTATCTACAAAATAGAAGTAAGCTATCCTATTCAGAAAATGATAACATAGATCAGGGTGGTCCAGGATTTAACAGCTCCGCGGGCCACAAAATTACTTTTGCATTGTTCGCGGGCCACAATAGTGCCAAGAACTTCGCTCATTTAACTTAGCTTTTTGCCTCAGTAAGCCATAACACAAGTCTATTCAGTGACATTAGTGATGCAACAATACGTCGAAAGATTTTTTTGGTTAATTTATGACGAAACAACACGGAATGCGATTTTTTGATTCCTCTCCGAATGCGACTTGGGTCACGGGTAATGAAGCGGCGGGCCACATGTGGCCCGCGGGCCTGGGTTTGGACCACCCTGACATAGATAAAAACAATGCAATAACCTAGCTGTTATAAAAGTATTAGACAGACTGTAATTGGCAAAGTGGATAACACATCTTGGATCCAAATTATTTACCTAAACATAGCTATTTAGCTAAACATAACAATTTGGTTATGGTTTGGTTGTGCCAGCATCAGGCGGGCCTGATTAAATTACAAAGCGGGCCACAACTAAATTTAGTTTGCCCATGCCAGGTGTAGAATGAGAATCTCCCGAATTACTGTGAACTCCTCACACATACTAAGATACAAGTGGCTGCTAGTAACATGCGATAGGTGTGAATAAGAGTCTTGGAAAAACAGTTAGGATATTGGTGGCCAAAAAACTGTGCAATGGGTGCTAAATTGGAATCATTTCTAGCTTGTAACTATTCTATCAATAGTTTTGTCCACTTTGATTTGACTTACAGTATTGCAGCATTATAAGCTCCATCAAAATTGTCTTTTCAATATTTTATTATTTAAGGTCCCTTTTTTGTATATATAATGCTTATTCATGCTTTTTACTATAAACAATGCTACATACAAGCAGCCACTGATATCTAATAATATGTAAGAAGAACCGAAATCCTTCAGGTCCGGTATGGCCTATTCAATTTATAACACCCTAGGTCAGATGGTGGGCATGGGATTTAAATCTAAGATGAGTATTCTGCAGTGGCCACATAGTCGATGGTTAATCATTATATCAGATTTTAACTAGGAATAATTAACCGTAAAAAAAAATGAACATACTTTTCATAGAAGATTTCAAATTTTTTTCGGACCTCCAGAAGTATGTACATCAAGATGGCGCACAACCTGAACATAGTATGTGTACCAGGTTAGGGTTCAGGTTGTGCCCCATCTTGATGTACATACTTCTGTAGGTCCAAAAAAATTTGAAATCTTCTATGGCAGGGGGTGGGCAAATTACGCCCGCGGGTCAGATCCGGCCCAGTTTAGTGTTTTATCCGGCCCACTGGTACGTGCTGAAATTAGGCTATAGTTTTCATGCATAAAAATTATCGTTGAAGAGATCGGAGAAACAACAAATCGTCCGCAAATGTAAATATTGTAATTCCACACGTACTATCAGCCCTGAATATAAACATAAAACTATCTGAATAATTTCTGTACAATAATTCAAAAACGCCAGCTCCTGACAAATCAGCATTTTTGTCTGCATTTTGCTACGCGTGTGTTCGTGGATGTCGTGGGGAGGGGGGATATCGTTACTTCAGCATGTCATGGGTATTTAAAACGTGAACATCAGTAATATATCGGTAAACTATATTACAGGGATTTATCCCTGTATTATGAGGACGTCGAGAAAAGGATTTCCTTGGAACTGTGCGTGAGGTGTGCAAAAACTCCTTATTGTGTGGTCATCTGAAACGAGAGACTAAATACAAACTAAAAATTGGATCCGCAAATCGAATTAGCGACTGAAAATGAGGAAGTGATTATTGTATGAAAAGAGCGGAGTCGTAAGATATATATATATATATCACAAAATATAATGCAGAACATCATAAATTTCGTTTTCAAAGCTCTATTTTTGACCTGGTAAATCCCAAAAATTTCGTTATTTTTCATCGGATTGGAAACTATAGCAAATCCCAGCGGTTCCCAAATATGTGTTTGTGCTGTGGCCATATCACCGCATTATATCAAAGTTGCAATGCTTTTACTTTATCGTATTGAATTGTACTCGTGGGATTTTATGACCGACCTTGGAATTTTGCAAATGGTGATTTCTTAAAAATAATCTTGGCTCAAATTAATCAAATGACCAAAGATCGCTCCTTTTTTTAATATATAATTAAATTAATTAAATTATATATTAAATTGATATGGCAAGACATTTTTAATTCTCGTAATAGTCTTGAACTCAATATTTTGCGCAAAAAAAAAACAACGGTGAAAAAGTCGGCAATTTCAACAAATGGGTAATCACGACGACTGTTGCCATTGGAATTTGCGTTTCCTATTTTGGATACAAAATAAAATCAATCGGATAACACTTGCCTCCTAAATCCTAAGTTACAGTAATTTTGTTTGTAAACGACAGGAATGCGCATCATTTATTCTCTTTGATTTGAATAATCTATTTATCAAATACGGCCATCATGACCGCAATTGTTACATTGTGCTATCTTTATTATTAACGTTATCCTAGCCCATTAGCCCAGCTGTTAAGCTTTTTTTTCTATCAACTTTCTTCGCGCTGCTACCGTAATTTGCCAGCTCCTGTAATAATGGCCCATTGATCATTGTGTCTAGGACTCTAGGTATTTGCAAACCGTTTCTGATCATATATACTGAATTTTGATCATCCGGCCCAGTAACCAAGTCTGTTATCCGCATCCGGCCCACTCAGAAAAGTAATTTCCCACCCCTGTTCTATGGATATGGATCTTCTAAGATGGCGCACAACCTGAACATAGTATGTGTACCAGGTTAGGGTTCAGGTTGTGCGCCATCTTTGTGCACATACTTCGGGAGCGCCTATTTTTCTAATTACTGGTAACCAAATTTTCTAATACTTCTTTTTTGCATTAATTACAATACAAATTTGGTTTGCATTGAATTCTTTAAACATACATGATTCTGGAATGTCAATTTTGCAGATGGGGGCAAGGAAAGATCGGTCAGCATCACAAGTAAAAGTATCTACAGATTTTTCGAGTGATCATGATAAAACTTCAGTAAAAGAAATAAGTGGGAAAAATCAAGGGGTATGAGAAAAATAGCCTATGTGATAATCAATTTATTATTATTTATTTTTGCTGAATCCTTTAGAAATTGGGCAGTCAGTCTTTCAATTTTGTTTGACATACTGATGGCGCATTAGGAAATAGCAGTATAACTACCCTTGTGTGACGGTATTCCCCCTTTATTATAAAAAATTGGACAGGATGGTTGACAAAGCCATAACCAGTCAAAGGCTATGTGCTGAGTTTTTATATTTGTTTTGACGGTAACAATTATGACACAAGGTTCTGATTGTGTCTGAAAATGAAATAAGCGCTAGAAGACTGTTGGTATTATTTTTTCGAATTTTGCTGAGAACTATGGGACAATGTCACCTAAAACTGTGCCGCTTCATTTTAATTCATGGAAACACTTTTATAAAATAAGGCAACTCTTCAGTTTACCAATGACAGCGTATATAAAATGTGATTCACGGCGTCCCTTCTGGTTGCCAGTTCAAGTTGAGCATGAAAATAAAATCACAATTTGTTAGCCTAAGTTTGTAGATTGCTTATCTATTGAAAACAGCTAGCAGGGACATATCATCCACTTGCCAGCTTATCTGACATTCTGTTGCATTGCTTAAAAATATTTCAGCCTGAAAAATAAAACCAGAATATCGGTCAGAGACCGAAGACTTATCGATCGAAAGTTAGGGGTTCCCCCAAAACAGTGCTCTTACTCCATAGTGACACCTTGTGTCCCATCACTAATTAATTGATAACTGGCTAATTATACGACATAATTCATCCATATTCAAAAGGCTTCTGGTCCGACATATGATGTATGCACATGCAAAATCTGGAGCAGATTCAATTTTTCTTTCTTGAGATATCGCGTGCATCTAACAGACAGACAGACAGACAGACAAACAGACAAATACTTACCGATTAATATCGATAAGTGATAAGTCATCCTGCCCCAAACTCTGAGGCTGTAAACCATTTTCTGGACTCCCTAAAATATTCCCTCCATACCAAGTATAGTTTTTTTCTAAGATTTTTCATCACATTCACTAACTTACAAGCAGGAAAATTCAATGTGCAAACTCTTTCTTTTTTAACCAGCCATTCTAGACATATCCAAGGGGGACACGGTGCTGTATAAAGCATCCTTATTGCGATTTGCTAGGTTTTCGAATACCGATAAGACAAACGACAATAGGCCATATATGTGTGAAAGAACAAGAACAAGAATCTAAATACTGAATAATCAAAGAACTGTGCCGTCAAGTGCTTATTTGCACTTGAACGCTGTTTATTGTGATATTGAATGCTATTGTCAGTCATTCTCATTCTGTCCTGAAATTACTATATGACTATCTTTTATTTTTTCATTATCTCCTCCATTACCAAATTTGGTTGCACCTACTCCAAACTCTTAATCCCAAAAAATTTCTACAAGACCGAAAATAAAGCGACCGAGAAGAATTAACCTTAAGCATGTGAAGAAAAGTTTGATAAACCCTGCCGTAATCAGTGAACTTCCAAGTTTATTTTTAAATATCTTATACATGATCAAAAATATACTTTTGTAAATTAGACCCTTTGGGTTAACATTTTGTATGTTCTATTCAGACTGAAGGTTATCCCATAAAAGAGTCAGTTGTGCCTTTTCCTGCAAGACTGTTAGCATCTTTACAGCAATCAGACCCAAAGATACAGAGAGATCCTTCACATGGTATGCTGATTCAAAACTCATTATATTGTGACTATAATAATTGTGTGGCATTGCGGTGGAAACTCAAACATATCTTTTACTTTTGAGTAAATATATTGGCACTTCGCAAGCATGTGTACCAAGATGATGCACAACCTGAACCCTAACTTGATACACATACTATGTTCAGGTTGTGCGCCATCTTGGTACACATACCTCGGGAACACAAATATATTAATATCCAGCTTGATGGCCCAAACCATAAACAAGCGCACATGCGTGCACTAATAAAAAAACTGCTTCATTTTTTCTTCATTTTGTGGTATTTACAATTAGTATTCATTATTATGATAATTGTCATCTTAGTTTATGTTGGAAATAATGATTTTTTTTCTTGCTGTTAAGGTCCTGTTGCAGACCATCCAGCTCCAGATGGAGAAAAAACGCTAGATGAAGAAAAACATGTAGGTTTTGTTTTCTAAATATCTCCCTAATATCTCCTGCTTTTTTATTTATTTTGACATGCTGGTGTGGCATACATTTTAATTCCCATACGCATATCTCTCTTGTGAATATTCCATTGTCTATTATTTTCTTCACTTGTCATGTCCCACTTTTCACTTGTAATTTGCATACTGCATAACGGTACTCCATTTTTGTGCCGGTGAAGTCGTCTACTTTAGTGAAAACTTATTTCTAGGTACCGGTAACTTCTCCGTTGCTTGGCACGCTGCGTACTTGTTTTTTATTGTTTTGTATTCAGTGATGCGTATATAAACCACCAGATGTCGCTAAAAAAGCTATATATTCTGGATGAATCATAATGGTTGTTCCTGTTGTCTAATTTATTTCAAATTTATTGTTGTGTTGTTTTCCCATGATTGTGTAATTTATAGTTATTTTTATCAGATTGCTTCATTGCTATATTTGCTGCTATATATTACTGTATTTGGTATCGCTGACTGGATGACTCACTGAGTCTTTCGCGATCCCACGTTAATTGCTATGAATCGGTTTATCCCGTTTTTAGTTTGCTATGTTTTTCTTTTGATTTATTGATTCTTGCATGACGAAAATAAATATCTGCATCTGAATCTGGCTCATCATGCTAAGCGTTAGGAATACTCCCCTCTGCATCTCTGATTACTCTGCGTGGGTTCGCAGGTTCAGATCATATGCGGGGGGTAGTCATGTGCAAGAGGATTGCTGGATTACTCGACACCTTAGGGTGGTTCATGTATCCGCTTTCCTCACCTCCGGGATAAATATGTTTGCTATTATCATCTACAATTATTAATATTCATCTTGGTAAGAGTAAAGTTATAAACAGCCTAAATACACGTTCATTACCAGTACTTCTAGGCTAGCGAAGCATATGAATGTTTTTCCTTCACACCACTTAACTAGACTATCCAAAAATTACGCAGACGATAACAAACTCACTAAGGCCAATGATCTCTCTCATATCGGGATCGTCGCGGCATGAAATCGATAGAAATAGCTTGCTCAATTTCGGGTGATCGTCTGTACATTTTGGACGACCGTCTGTATATTTTGGAGGGGCTTATTACATAACTGTAATGTAATTTGTGGATGACGTGGTCAGGTGGGGTTTAGGTAACATGCAAAAATTGTTGAGCCAGGTTAGCTAGAAGTACATATGGTACTAAACTATGCCTGACTCAGATGCTCATACTACCACCTCAAAAGTAGCACTCTGGTCTTACTTCAGATGCTTCAAATTTACATTTTGTGTACTTGATTTAGATTGATGTTCACCCTACAAGACATGGAACACCCCCATCTTCTGTTGATGGAAATCAAGGTCCACCCTCACTAGCAGACTCTGGAATATCAAGTAATCGTAAGTACCAACTACCAAGTAGTTATTTTTTGAAAATACAATGTAATGTGTTTGGGAAAGGGTTATCAACTTGAGGTTTGTCATTTTTAATGGTTCTGTATCTAAAGTTAGCGTTTTTATTTGAACTCCTAGGGGTCTGGTGTCAGAGTCTGAATTTGGTTATGGTTGATATAACAAAAACTATAGAATGCTTGCAAACATAAAAAAAAAAAAATCTTAGAGTCGAGAACTGTGGTTTAAGTTTAAAACTACCGATGCTCCATGTGTATAAATGGCTACTTGTCTATAGCCTTGTCTAGAAAGTCATTTAGTATTTGCAAATGTGAAACATAATTTAACAATCTAAATAATCAAAAGTATGATAAACCCATGTCTGCTTTGCACAGCATCGCATGGATGGAGATGAATAATTGGGACTCTCTGTGTTAGCCAAGTGAATATACCCCCTGCCCATGGGTTTCAGTCTTTTTATACAACTTGATGCAAATTAGGCGAACAAAATTAGTTACTTCCATATTGGTACACGCACGCACTTCTGGAGTGAATTCCTCTGTCTTTCATGCTGCTCGAAAATATGATAAAAATGCAATTGAATAGAAGGAAAATTTCAAGAACCTTGTCCATGTTTTCAGTTGGGTCATTATACTCTGTTGTATATAATTTTTTGTGCAAAAAAGGTATTTCCAAAGTTGTGAAATTTGAACTGAGACAAAACTCATGGTGGTATGTACTGGTTTCATTGTATTTCAACGATAACTTGCGATTTTATTCTGAGTTGAGTTTTCCTTACCTGCCAGTGATTCGATGTCTACAATTTTAGGTGTTTTTTAGGTGTAGGTTTTTATTCAAATTTATCACACATTTGGAATGATTGTTCATCTTTTTAGTTTCAGTTCGCAGTTCTGTCATCAGTGGAGAAGCAATGGAGGGAAGAGAAAAGCTGGTAATTATTCTTGACATCCTTAGGTTTTATTATTTATCATTCCTTTAAATATTTCATATTTAGTCTTTTTCTATTTTGAAGCTTGTGGCCTCCTTTCGGAGACTTTTGGCACTCGTCGCCCCCTGTTTACCATTAAGGAAGTATTTATAGCATCATTTCTCAAACTTTGGGGAATTTTAAAAAATAGGCTGTTTGCATTACACATACTGACATAGGCATTCATGCAGTGGGCAAGCTTGTGAGATTTGAGTAACCATATTTACGTAGGCTGATAATATTATCGAATTTCGAAACCTTGTTTTGACTGTTTCTCAAAACAGGCACACACATCGCATTTAAATTTGCAGAATAATTTGTTTAAGTCACGCTCAATTTTTTTACAAGTGTGCCGCAAGATTTTTTCTTTCTGTTAGTGCGCAGTGAGCAAAAAAAGTTTGAGAACCACTGATTTATAGTGTTATTTTTATTGGTAGATTCCAAATCCCATTATGTCCAAACAGTTCATGCTCAACAAGGTGAAAACACCTTGTGAAATAACCTTGGCAAAAAATGAAACTAGGAAGAACGGGGAGTTTTCTTGTAAAAGGGGAATATTTATTCTGCGCCTAGCATTTCTTGTTGAGGGAAAAGTAAAATCAGTTTTGCAACAGGCCCCCAGTTGGGGACTGCTGTTAAAAGTCATATATTGTAAGACATGGCCCCCACATGGTTACCAGTTTGGGTAGGACATATTCTGGATTTCGAAGTAAGCCATAGTTGTTATATTAAATACAGTGTTGCAGAGAAACCAGCACATGATCATTCACACAGGGCCAAGATGAGCATTTTCTTGCAGTCAATATGATGTGCCAACTGTTAAATTCATTAAAACAAGCTATATACTCAACAATATCTTATTCCTGTTAATTTCAGACTACCATTCAACCTGTCTTGCCCAGACAACGTGATGAATTTATAGACGATTCGTTCGATCCATTTTCCTTTACTGTCGGTCGTAATGGATGCATTGTGAAGACTCCATATGCTGAAATTATATTTCCTTGCGATGCGGTCGATGAAAAGATAGAAATTACAGTCAGGCCTGACTATTACCGATTGAGAGAGAAGGTATTACAATTCGTGGAGTCACTCAGTTTTACAACTTTCTTTAAGTATTCAACTTTTTTTAATTTCAACAGCAGGCCCTGCATGGGTTCGCAGGTTGGAATCCCATGTGGGGATGATCATGTGCGAGAGGATTGTTGGACTTCTTGCCGTCGTTGCCCGTTGGGTGGTTCACGTAACCGCTGGTCGGTTACGGCTTCCTCCACCATCAAGTCCATGCTTCCGAAAAAAAAATAACTAACTAATCCCATACCCGACATGGAATGGTAACCGGACGAGAGGCCGTGGTTTGCCATATGGTTAAGCCATCTTAACGGCTTTCCTCTCCCCCGGGATAAATATGTAAATCCTATCCTATCCTAATCTCACCTTCACATTACAGCTTAAGCTTGAGCAACAACCTCTGAAATAATTTTTATTTTATTTTGTTTTACAGCTTATTGATGATTCTCGCATATATGTTTCACCGGAAATATTTTTCGAATCAAAGGACGAGATGATGTTTAAGAATGAAGTGACAATAAACCTGGAAGTCATGTACTCTGCAATTGATCCTGACGATCCACTTATTCTTAATGTAAGGCTTTAATGATATACCGTGTTTATTGCTGTTTATGAATAAACATTTAGCCTGGCGCACCGGAGGTATGTGTATAAAGATGACGCACAGCCTGAACCCTAACCTGGTTTTTATACTATGTTCAGGTTGTGAAGGTTGTAAATCCGATTTAATCCATGGCTTGGTGGTTATCATACCATGCTAAACTTTGGGAACATGCTTGCCATCGCACCTCTGATTATCCTGTCCGTAATAATTATTTTTGATAGGATTGTTGGACTCCTCGCTGTCGTAGATAGGATGGTTTACATTACCACTGGACTGTTTGTTTAAGTTATTGTGGTCAAAAGCTATTTAGATTGCTATTTCAGATTGAAATTCTCTCTTCTGATTGTGACATGCATATTTTTTTTGAACATTTTCCTCATATTATAATAACAGCATGAATTTATTTTCAGGTCGAGAGGATTGATGATGGTGTTGTTGAGAACTATTCGAAGTTGGAGCATGGACAAGGTACAAAAGCTGAATTCAAAGTGAAAACCTTTTGCGGGTAAGCATTACTGTGTGCAAAAAAATTATGTGGGATTGCTGTATTTATCCAAGAATACGTACAGCCGCTACGATAGCTTGATCATATGGCGTACCACATCCTCTCGTCGGTGGTGAGGAGTCAACAGCTTGACCAGTGAGACAGAATCCCCAGTCATTTTGAAAAATAAATTTAGTAAAACTCAGATTACTAAAACTTCTGAGTACAATCATAAAGAAGTTCAAGTGTTAAATAATTTTTCTTCATTTTTGTAGAAGTAATTTTTAAATTCTGGTTTTAGGATACTCTGTATTTGCACATGAGTTAGTACACAACAGATCTGTTATTTCATTCTGATTTGAATTATAGGTACTGCATCTACGCTCTGAAATCTGAGTTCCCAAAAGCGAAACGTCATTTTTACTCAATTATTTGTCTTCGTCAACCTCCTATTGAAACTCCAAAGCATCACTATATCCACTGGTACATATTCGATCGTTGTGAGATTGAACTTCGCAGCAAATCTGCTTCAATAAAAGACTTGGGTTTTCACGCTCTGGGACTGTCTGAAAGCTTTACTGTTAAGTAAGTTATGTATATTTTATTTATTCTTTGAGGGTTGCCACATCTTTAGTCCTGGCCAAGGCTGCACGGGAAATATTCAGTCATACTTTGAAGTTACAATAATTGAAATAGCTATGATTTATCTCATACCTGAGGTTCAAAAAATTTGAATCAGTGCAATCTCTAGCTTGCAATGCTAAGGCAAGAGATGTTAATAACTATCTATTTTAATAAAACTTTTTATCTGCTATTTTTCTGAATATTCCTTAGGGCAGCGGTTTCCAAACTTTTTATTCTCGCGGTGCCAAATATTAGGCAAAAAAGCTCATGGCACACTTACACGAAAAAAAACGTGCTTTTAAAGTAAACACAACTTTGTGATCATCAATGTGTACTTCATGCCTTTTAAAATTTGGTAACATGTAGGCCTTCCTAGGTAATAAAGGCAAATAGTCAACTCTTTTTCTTCATCTCTGCCTGATTTTTTTCGAACGCTAAAAAAATTATTCTTGTTCTCTAAACTCGGTTTAGCAGATAAATAAACTGCAGCTCGCAAAATTGCAGTACATAGTATCTATCTCTATTGTTTCGTAATAATATGGGCAGACACTTCGTAACGTAAATTGAAAGTAAATGACATATAGAGGGAAAATGGCACCCTTTGGGAACCGCTGCTTTAGGGGACCAAGCAGGGGTGCAGCCATCATTTCTAAATTGGGGTGGGGGGGATTGGTTAAACATCGTGAATCGTCATCCTACCTCTGTCTACCATGTGTGGGTTCACAGGTTTGAATTCCATGCAGGGATGATTATGTGCAAGAGGATTGCTGGGCTTCGTCGTAGGGTGGTTCACATAACTGCTGATCGATCACGACTTTCTCCACCATCAAGTCAAAGCATCTGAAAACAAATAACTCGCTTAATTGTATGGCGTACCCAGGCCTTTTGTCCAGTTATCAGTTCATGTCGGGCATGGGCATGGGAACAGGTAGCCAGTTATTGGTGACTGATGAGGGAAGACATGAATGGCCACTGATTACACTAACCACTCTGGCAGCAAATTTACTAACAATCTTGCATATCATTATCCTTGCTGTATTCGGAACTACAATGTCAAATGTGTTTCTAACTAGAGATGTATCAGGTATTGACAGTTTTTTTGGTATCGACCATGTATCGGTATCGGTTAGATTAAGGCCGATATTTCCGATATATTGATATGGTCCAGAATGTTTTAAAAGATAAGTTGGAATACTACTTTTTAATTTATTTTTTGTCTGTAAAGATCGTGAGCTATGAGCGCTATGAGTCATACATGTCCCCACCCCCGCGAGAGAATAGGATTCACTTGTTTCTAGCTATTTACCAGCCAAACTAGTTCAACTAATTTTGCTCTTTTCGCTGCCAAATTTTTATATTGACATTTTTGATATTACATAGTAATTATGAAGAGATATATCAACACAGCACATAACAAAAAGCAACTAGGCACCGAGTTTTAAATCATACAGTGGAATTGGAGTCCTTATTAACGGCACATGCACTTTTGGCATGGCTATAAATTCTGACTGTTTGTCGTCAAGTACCAGTGTCATTTAGTTCGTCGACATCGATAAACTAAATTCCAACACAATTATCCCTCTACGCAGGTATTAATTTCAATTTTGTTTAACTACACAATTTCTTTATAGATATATTGATATGACCGCTTAGACTGTCTCAAAATATATGATAGCACAGCGCACAGGGGTGGGCACACTGCAGCTCGCGAGCCGCATGCGGCTCGCCAGACTTTTTGTGCAGCTCTTCTCGCTAACATAAATCATTATCCAATATTTAACTAAGAGAAAAACTTTAATGTAAACTCTTTTAATTTATTAAAAGTCGTCAAGAAGTTGTCGTCAATGATTAAGACAAATTATGTTTTAGTATGAATATCGCTGTAGCGTTGAATTTAAGTCAGTCAAGTCAGCAAATCTTTCGTCACAATGGTCAATGTTTATTGATGCGTCGGCGGTATTGCAGCTTGATTACGGTTAGTTAGTCTGAGTTGCAGTGCGATGTGTCCTTAATTAAGAAACGAAAGTACGAAAGATGAAAACAGAGTTGTCAAGGCAGAATGGGAAGAAGAATACGCATTTACCAGTCAGGAGAATAAACCTTTGTGCCTAGTCTGCCATAAGCTACTAAGTCAGAATAAAGTCAGCAATGTTAAACGGCACCATGAAACGAATCATGAAAACTTCATACGAGACTACCCTTGTAAATCAGCTATAAGGAAACACAAACTAAATGAGCTCAAATTGTGCATATATTTGAGCATAGCTGCCTTGTTTATCTATTTATTGTTATTAGACTCTTGTGTGAATTTCTTTTCTGTGATAATAATAATAAATTCACAAATTCTGCGGCTCTTTTAAAGTTCTGACTTGCAGTATGCGGCTCTTTTACTAAAAAATTGTGCCCACCCCTGTGATAGCAATTGTAAAATATTATAAAATAATAAAGTGAAAAAACATCCTCGACGATTATAGGTAGGCCTTCTTCTTGTCGGTGCTGATTGATATTCTTTCATGTTGATTTTGATTTATTGCGGCGACGATTACGATTAGCCACGAAATAAAATATTTGTAAAATGCTTTTAATTTGAATTTAGGACGGCGTCGCTAGAATCTCTGGGCGATATTTGATATTCTTTTAAACACGAATAACGATATTCGAAGGCCGCGATATCAACATTTAATTCAAATTGGACATCCCGGCTTATCAGTTTTGTAATTGAACACCGAGATTACTAACGTTACTGTACAATGTATCTTAATCAGTTAAAAGCAAACACCAAACATCAATTGCATATTATGTGATATATCTCTTTTTTCGATCTGGAATAATGTGTACTATGAAAGTATGTACTACGCTCAAAGACCTTTGTTTTAACCCGTCTGCCCTACACAGCACACCTAATTAAGTAATAATTACATAGTATCGATATCGATAATATCGGCCTTTTTGTAGTACCGGCGTATCGGTATCGGCGTTGTTAGCTGGTATCGGTATCGGCGACAAAAGTGGTATCGGTACATCTCTATTCCTAACGCTAAATACACTGTGCCAACTTCTGAGGTTTTTCAAGATGACATTTATTATAAGCACATTTTTATATTTTAGATATGGCCAGAATGTTCGACTCCGATTCCAATCGAATCGAAATGTGCAAATTGCAAGCAGAAAAGTTGAAATTATGCCATTTTGGGGTGACCCATTCAGCAAAGATGAAAGATTCACTATTGATGCCAATAAGATAGATCTTTCAGGGAGTGAAGCCGATGAAGAAGATGAACAGCCAGTGATAAAGTATACAATAACTGAGATAGATCCTGCATCGAATGAAGAAACATTAATTGTATTGAATGGCTCTTTACCATTTGATTGGCTGGTCCCTGCTCAGAAAACAGAGATTGTGATGAAGGGAGACAGCAGTGTTGCTTTTCAAAGCACCACATATGTTGGAGATTCCCGAATGGAAATATCAGCCAAAAAATTACCACATAGTATTCGTATGGCACAAAATCCAAACGAAAGAGAAGCTTCAGATGCATTCCAGTCTTATGATGTACAGGCTCGGAGAAACGGCAGATATCCAATAGGTGGAGCCATGGGGGGTCACAATCAAGATAATCAACAACCTTCTAGCATTTCTACTGATAGCAGTGATGAAGATTTGCGTGAACAGAATTTAGATTTTCAACCAGAAATCTTCATATTTCCGTCACCAGACGAGTCTCGATCTTCAAGCAGTCGCAGATATTTTAACAGGCCGATGGTGGGTCAAAGATATCAATCTGAAACAGGTCAAGACCATGGAAGAAAAGCATGTGGTTTGGCTTCAAATTACCGAAGCATGCCTTCCCACCCCATTAGAAGGTCTTGCAGCCTAACTCTTGACAACTATCGTTTTCTTCCTTCCATTCAAGAACAACATCATAGGGAAGATTCCCAAAGTTATAGCCTCACATCTCGAGTTCGATCAAGCTCAGCCGATGGGGCTCACCACCGTACTCACGGTCGGTATTTGGATGGTTGTAGGTCGAGAGAGGCTGATGATCATAAAAATAATGATGAGCATTGGCCCAGAAATCAGCAGGAACTACCAATAAATCAGGATTCTGAGGATGAACAGCAAATATTGGAAATATGTGCTCAAAGGATCTCAGGACAAAAAGAGAAACAAGATTAAAAATTTTTATATAAATATTCCAGGAAAGAAGCCAAAAATCTTATCGCCTATGAAACAAAATGACAGATCCCAGTTCCCTCACAAAATCAAAGAAGCTGTTATAGATATAAATACTGATGAATCTTAATTCATTAGTAGTTTGACTTTGAGCATTCTGAAAAGTTCAGTTAGATAATGTATATTTTTATTTCTTTTTTATTATTTTACCAGTCAAAGTTCAAAGAACAATGGTTTATCTCCGTATCATCATGAAAATTGTCCAAATTCAACTCCTCGATGCCATTTTGCGTACTAAAATGGCAATATTTTATGTACTTTTTATATGAATCACCAACAGGAAGGTTGTGAGCTTTGAAATATAATGATTTTTGTAGTTCTTACACTTGGGCTATTGCAGTGTAAATGACACGCATAGAAATGTAATATTTCTTTGATAGAATCTTTATATTTACTAAAATTGGGAAGACTGTACTCTACTGGGACTTCCTGAAGTATGTGCACCAAGATGGCGCACAAGCTGAACTCAGGTTGTGTACCAGGTTAGGGTTCAGGTCGTGCGACATCTTGGTGCGCATACTTCAGTAGTACCCTCTGCTGTAAAGATTACGTAACCCCAATACTTAGTTTTAGCCTTCGTGTTCATATATTTTAGCATTGATCTCTAATTTTACTTTTAAACTTTTATTAATCACCGTATCTTTGAGTCTATAAATATAAATGAGCTTCATTAATTTGTGAAAATTTTAAATTTTTCTTAATATAATTTTTTTAAATTTGGAAGATTGTTTTTGCTGGTGACTAGTATTGGATAACACTACGAGTAGCTAGCTTATAAATTGAAATAAATTTCTGAAATCTTGGTAGTACCAACATACTATACATGTTTAAAATACTGGTTGTGGGAAGACTTGCCTAATGTATTAAAAGCAAAAGTTGATCTATTTTTATTATTCTGGAAAAATCTTGATATATATAAGAGTTCCTACATATATCATAAGGCAGATTCCTGTTCACTACTTACACTACGCATTCCATTGGAATTTCAATATGTTTTCTAGGGATTTTCGTGAGTTGGTAAAAGAGTGTATAATATGAAGCTTTATTAGTATAAATTTGAATAGTCCATGTTGGGTATGATATTAGTTGACAGTTATTTGTTTCAGGTGCCTTGGTGGTGGAGAAAGCCGTAACTACCCTATGGTAGGGGGAGTCCAGCAATTCGCTTGACCGAAAAGATCCCCACAGAATTCCAACCTGCGAACCTGTCCAGGACACATGTTATGTATGTATACTCTTTGACGCAGGGTAATCAGTGGTGCGAAGGCAAGTGTACCGGTACATATTGATAACGCTCAGCATGATTTTAGTTAAAAATTTTCAACCACGTGCCTTTAAGTAATGATGGCTAATTTTAGCAAGACCATTGCAGCATTTGCGAGACTAATTTTTGAATATTGCAAGTTGCAACTAAAGTAGAGCTCTTCGGAAGACAGAGTGTGGTTGGATACAGTCAGCGGGCCGTATGTTGCCCACCCCTGTGCTAGGCGTATGGTTCAGGTAACTCGCTTGTGTTTCACTGTTTGCGGACAGCACTTCGTTGATGTGGATTACTGCAGCACGGATCGGAAATGAACTGTACCAGAGAGTGTCAGGAAAACGCAAGGTTGAACAATGCAGAGAAAGACGAAAGGAACGTGCCGACTACCAGTGCCGGTAGTTTGATTAAGCTTTTTATGCCCGTCCTGATTAAATCATAATCAGGTCGTGTAGATTTTAGAGAAAAAATAAATGGAGTAGCCTTCTAACGACTTCTTCCGTCTCCAAGTACAGAAGTACTGAAATTATCAAACTGATTGTTCAAACACGATTTTACATATCACTGTGTTATGGACAACACAATTTGGTTACATACTGGTAACTATTTTTGCAATTTGGAGGGTCTGGGGTTGGAAAAGACAACTGACAAGTCTGAAAGTGGAAAAGCTGGAAAGTGAATACAACAGAGTTGTGAAGAAATGTGATATGACTCTTTGCCCACAGATATTGCACTCATAACTACACAAGCCAGTTTAATTCTGTAATTCGATTTTTTAAATTCTGTTGGAACTTATATTTGGCCACTTCATGAGTGGTATTAATCAGCACTTCACCATATCTCAGGATGTCCTGTTCACTTTATAACAAAATTGAGGACTAAAGAGTTTTCACTATGAATAGTATAGTATGCTGGGCATTGCTTGCGGGGGATAGAAATTTTAAAGACACCCACAAATTTTCCAGTTGGCTTTCCAAGTGTGCTTTCTGTTTTAACATGGTTGTTTGTATTGTGTTACTTTGATAAATATGCCTTGAATTGTTCATCTTATTTCAATGGCAACATTATCCATGTTGTATTTTTTTATGAGCTCCTGCAACCTTACTCTGTGGATATTATTTTGGCAATATCTGATTTTTCCTCTTCTGCTGCCAATAAGTGGTTATGTACCACCTAGAACACCAGCATAATTTGAATTTTCTACTGTAACATCAATGTTTCACTTTTGCCCATGGTATTTCTTTGTGTGAGTGTGTAAGTGAGATTGCTTTTACTGTTTTAATAAATGATTTTACACCTCCATGCTGCCTGCCAATATTGACAGTGTTTGGATATTGTTTTGGTAAATAGTTCCAATGTATATAGCTTTTTGTGTTTTTTCCTGTGTTACTAGTCACTATTTTCTTCTAACATTGGCACGCGTTGTTAGGTATTTGTATTCACAGCTATTGTCACTCTATTTTTATTTCCACTATTCAAAATTTCATGCTGCTTTTCAACCATGTATTTATTTATCTGTCTTGCACATTTGATAGGTTTTTGTTGATTTTTTGCATTCCTGACAGCAAGCGATGTCTCCCATAGATTTTGACCTGTATATATCTCAGACCCAAAATTTACAGAATTCGAGATCAGCTTTATTTATATATATTTACTGCAAGGCTAATCCTGGCGATTTCTCAGCTACCATAATCGTATACGAACATTTGAAACATCTATCAGAGACGGAGGAGGTCGTTGGGATTCTATTACATTTAATTTTATCTACCTGAATTTTGCTGTCTTATTTCAAGCGCAACACTTATTTTACTCCATGTAAATTATCCACTGATTCAAGCAATTATTTGGCTTTTATCATTTTAAATTGAGTTATAAGCACTGCCCGATTTTGAATCGTGTCCATATCTTTTGTATAATCGAATTATTTCTATTTTATTTTTTGGTGGGTGGGCACGTACTTGTACGTTTTTTAACTTCATTTTAAGTTATGCTCGCCTTTCAAATATCTCTGTATTTGTTGTCTGTTTACTTTTTTGTATTGTTCCGTTTTAGTCAGAGAGCCGAAATAAAATGATTGATGATTGATTGATTGATTGAAGACATACCGTAATGATAATCATGTTTTAAAATTTTACAATCATTTTTTGAAAACACAACTGAAAACTGACAAATAACACCCAAAATCAAGGTATTGTGTAGTTTAGGATATGATTTACATATTCATCCCGGGGAGAGGAAAGCCGATAAGATGGTTTAACCAAATGGCAAACCACGGCCTCTCGTCCGGTTACCATTTCAAGTTGGAAATTAGTTAGTTTTTGTTTTCAGAAGCATGGACTTGAAGAACATGCTTGAAGTGTCTGAGCGCGAGCATAAATTGCAATTATTACGTCATTGTTAACTTATTGCCGATTGGTTATGTTTGCAGAAATAACGAGGAAATCGACGCTTGTGGAAGCATGCATCGATTCTTTTTTGACGAACAAAATAGGTACAGTATATCAATCTGAATTTGGTAACTTCAGTACAAATGTACGGTATTTGATGGAAATCTACGGTATCGGTACTTCAATTTATCTGGCTAATATAGCAATATCTAAGAGACAAATTGATTCTTCATTCCAACATCTTTGTGTAGGATATAGTGAATAGACCTTAGTCATTTAAAACCCATCCTACGCGCAAAAATAGAAGTGATGTAAAAAAAAAATTTTCAACATTAGCTCTCATGGGAAATGTGATCACCAGAGCAGAAATTTGCATTTTTTTGTATTTTCTATATTTTCATCGTATACGTGTGTAGTTTTGAGGACAGAATATTTTTTACATTATTTTTGATATTTTTATCATGATAAAAATGGTCAAGATTTTTGATAATCGTTCATTAAAATTTTAATGAGCGCGGTTTTCCGATGACGTCATTCTTACTAGACCATGAGATTCTGCCAACTCAAAGCCCATATATACCTAAGTCTAAGTTGCGCAACAATGGAAATTGGCCGCCATTTTTGATCAATGTCGCCTGCGGCGGTTCTGCGTGATCCTCGGCTAGGCTGGTGCCTTCTGCTATAAAATTATAGGCTACTCGGCGTCTAATTGCAGCGGAAATAGCGAACAGTGCAACTATTGAAGCTATCAGCAGATGCCGAGAGAAGAAACAAATGGGAAAATATTTCTAGAGGCTGGAAATCCGGCCCAGGCAGTTCGTTGTGTGAGGTTAGTCAAACGAATGGCCTAATGTCAAACTGACACCAGACAAGCTAGTAATCTGCAGGCTGTACATAGTTTTAGGATGATGTCACATTTAATTATTTATATCACGTTGCCGATTCGTCTCACTAAAGTTAGCCCAGAAAAGTTACGTTGAACTACTAAGATTTTCTAAATGCTGGCTTCAGTTGTCAGATTAGGAAAACTGTATTTAAATCATCCTAAGTAATGTAATGTCAGAAATCAGTGCATTGAATGTACAAGATTCACTGTCATGATTGCTTGGAGTCCTACGGTCACAACAATTCATAGTAATTATCAGCAATGTGAATGGACAATTCGGAGCTTAGTGGAAATAATACTTTATCTTTTGAATTTCTGAACTGAATGTGTGTTTAGTTAAGTCACTGTCAATTATATTTTGTGGTAAAAATTGGATGCTGAACGCTTGCTATTTCAAAAGTACGTTCATTTTATAACCTACAACTCATTCCATTTTCAGACTCATTTTTGAAAAATATCAATTTGAACCGAAGAGGACGGATAAATGGAAAAAAATAAAATGGGATATAGAAAATATTCGATGAGCCAAATTCACCAAAAAATTCAAATCATCAAAAGCTGAATTAGCTAATATATTGACTGAGATGAAATTTCAAAAAAGAACAATAAGCCTACAGTAAGTTTTGAATGCCAAAGTAATCTGTAATTGTCAGGTTGAATGTGTTGAAATGAATCATTTCACTTACGTTTTAGGTTTGATCAAAACATCCTACTCCAGGTGCCACCAGGACAAACCAGTTGTGCCAGAAGCCTATAATGTTGGGTCATATACAGCACAAGAGTGTCAGACTGCTGCTTAAGCCTCAAGATTGACTTCAGAAGTACTATGGCTTCTGTTTATGCATATGATGTATTGAAGACTGTAGAGGACGCGCTTCGATGGTTACTACTTTGCGCACAGTCCAGAACCACATTACACTGTGTAACACACATTTTGTTACTGGCTTCTGATTATTATTTTCTGAGAACAGCACGCAACCACATAAGAAAATTTAGATTTTGATTTTTTGAATATTGGGGGGAGTATTTCACCCAAATCGTTTTTTGGGGTATATAAAACAACATAAAACTTTCATTGTAACACAGGTGTGCTTTTTTTGTGTTTTTATTTATCCAAATTATTACAAACCTATTATAAATAACTTTTTAGCAATTAAAAGACTTGAAATTGAACATAAAAACACAGATTATTTGTTAAAGTCAATTTCACGAATAAGCACTCATATGTAGTCACCATCGCTTAGGTGACATGGGCAGTCACGACCTTGTAATGGAACTAAGATAAGGAAAGTCGGAATAAAAATTGGGCTTAGCTTTAACCTGGTACACATACTGCGGGAGTTTAAATTTATGTACCTTTTTCATGTCTTTTTTATTTAATTATTGAAATTTCTATTGTTGGTCAATCGAATAGCACTTCTTTTCCACGTTTTTTATATTTAGTTATTTACATGCTATTGTTGATCAATTAAATGGTTCTTTTCTCATATTTTTGTTATTTGATAAGTATCATTTCTATTTTTGTTCAATCAAATTATTTCCAAATTGCTCTGGACTATCAGTTTGTTTGCAATGATTTCATGAATCATACTGCTACACCGAAGATTTAAATAAAAATGTTCACTATTCCTATGATGATCATTGCTTGCTTCGTTTTGTAAATACAATTCTCAAGATGTGAATTATGAAAATTTTCCTATTGATTTGACCCTCTTGTGTGGGTCAGAAACGTTTTCAAAACCCATCTGCTAAAACTTCTTGATATACTTGTAAGTATTTACATTATTAGAGTGCAAGTTTGTAAAAATCCCAAAATATATATAAAGTTCATGCAATTTTGAAACATTTTCAGATTATAACAAACATATGAATCAAGATCATCTTTCCCTATCCAGTGTGTTATTTTTATCCAATACTGTGTATGTATCACTGAGTTGCACTTATTTATTTTTCACGTTCAGGCACATTCTCATCGCATTGAAAAAAAATTTGTCGCTGATCCACTGTGTATACATAGCCAATTTAATTATTTTTTTCTGATTATTATCGTTCAAACTCCATTGAATTTAGTTTTCAGTTAAATATAAATTTCCATCACATTATTCTGGCCGCTTTTGTTTTATTTAACGAATGCAACCGCGGAGCCCCAACTTTTTTTTAAACACACACATGCTTAACATCTTTTTTTTATAAGAATCCCTCCATTTTGTTCAGAAATTTATTGTTAGAATATTATCGTAATTGTTTTTGCCACTGGTCATCTCTACCAAAACAATTTGATTTGCTGTAGCTATTTTATTGATGAGTGTATTTTTTGGTTGACAAAGTAATAAAATCTCTCTTTCGTTGTACTGCCATTGGTAAGGACGTTTACAATTCAATTATGCAGCGATAGGATAGGATTTACATGTTTATCCCAGGGGAGAGAAAAGCCGATAAGACGGCTTAATCATATGGCGAACCACGGCCTCTCGTCCGGTTACCAGGTCAGGTATGGAATTAGTTAGCCAGTTATTTGTATTCGGAAGCAATGACTTGATGGTAGAGGAAGCCATAACCGACCAGCGGTTACGTGAACCACCCTACGGCGGCGAGGAGTCCAGCGATCCTCTCGCACATGATCATCCCCGCATGGGATTCGAACCTGCGATCCCTCGAAGGGTAATCAGAGATGAGATGGCGAGCGTATTCCCAACGATTAGCACGATGCGCCACACCGCCGAGCCCAGTATTTCGCAGCTGACATAGAACAGTAGAATGTTCTTTGTGGAATTTGACAGATACCGTAATCTTACTAAACAGCGTCTGGAAAGGGCAAATTTCTAATGTAACATTGCCAACAACATTTAGCTATAGGACAGTTGTAATATCTCATTTGACGTCGTCTTTACTGTCGAAAATTCAGTTCGTTGCAGTCATTTAGGCCTGTTGTGGTGTGAAACACCCCAAACATGGGACCCCAAATGGCGAAATAGGGTATTTCGAATGTGACAGAAGCCAAAAATAGCCCAAGCTATTTCAGAACGCCCTGGTTGTCAGTAAATTCCGCGACAACCGTGGCGCCAGACGTCAATTCCGGGACTGTCCCGGCCATTCCGGGGACGGCCGATAGCCCTAGTCTGGAATAATTTTAGATTTTCCCATTTTTCCGTAGGCTATATATGTGTGGGTGTCTTGACTTGCATTGCCCATTTGTTTTAGTGTTACGGAAAAATCGAAATGAACTTTACTTTACTAACCGTGTGTTGCGTCTATATTTTGTTTGTCACCGAGCGGCGTGGGTTGTTAATGTAAGTGCCTCATATTGGATTCGATACTGACTGGGACACCTTATCGGATTTCTGCGCTTTCGGAATATAACTACTCATTTAAATCTTCCCCAATAACTATTTAAAACTACTAAAATTAGGCTTGTTTGCGTTACATCACTCGACCCGAATGATCGAAAATGGCGTTCATATGACGCCATAATGGGACAAGTTAGTTCCACGGGGTTGTGCCACTGAACTGGAAATATATGGAACGATCTTCTCTCTCGTTTTGCGTTGTCGCTGCGCGGGACAATTTGATCGCCGCCATCTTGGCACTTATGCTTCCAAACTTTCTTCCTGCTGGTAGGGTAGTTCGCTGGTTTTGGCTTGTTTTTCGTGTTTAAAAGCTGCTAGTTTCATAATTGGGTATTTACGTTCAAACTTCCCTAAGTATAGGTGGCTAGGTTAGTATTTGTCACTAGCTAGTTAGTATTTTTTTTTTATATTTTAGGCTGACAGTACGATATAGTTACGGAATAGTTTAACTAAAGGTACGGTATGGCATTGCCAAAAAAATCTGAGGCGGAGAAAATGATTGGAAAAAGTAGCGGTATTGGTACTCAGTGCTCCGCATATGGTTGCAAAAAACGTTTTAAAAGGAAGGACTTTCGAAGTGATAGCGAGGGAGATGATGACGAGGAAAGTGTGCTGAAACGAAAATATCCAAGGACATTTCATACGGTAAGTAAGAAAAATAGCCCAGCAGTTTGTGTTAACAATATCAGTTTTCAGTTGTCTGCCAGTGTGTGTTTTAGCAATTTGTTCATAGCTTGCTAAACATTGTAAAAGATAAAGCTAGTTTTATTATCATGATATACAGATATATGTTAGAGTAAATGCATACAGGTATAGCTGTCTCGGTACAGTATTGAGGCTCGTCTTCTGTACTGGTAACTATAAGGTCAGAAGTCAGTTTGTAGTAAAGTTGTAATTTAGTCAAAGTTGTTGGAAAAATTGTATAAGCATTTAAATCATTTGGGCTGAAGGCGACAGCAAGTTTATAACATACAAAGTGGTCAACAATTTAGCGCATAAAACTATTATTGACTAGAAAAGAGCGTTTTTGACTATACAGATAGATTATGTTAAATCCAAATTCTGGTTCTGGCCTGCTTCAATTCAAGTAGCTCAAATCCGAATAAATTGTGCACTTACTGCATGAAATGATTATCAGTTCTTTTTTGCTCATACATAATTAACAATATTTTTCTCAGATTTCCTTTGAATAAGGCACTTTGCGAGAAGTGGGTAACTGCTTTGCGGAGGGCGAATTGGATTCCAACTAGTTCTTCACGTTTATGCTCTGACCATTTTAAAGAGAGCGATATTAAGAGAACCGGGCAACGCACAAGAATTAAGGACAATGCTGTTCCGACCCGATTCAAAGCATTTCCAAAATATTTAAGAAAGGTATGCATAAGATAAACAACAAATTGAATCCTCAATAACTTTAAATGTTGTACCCAAAGCGACAAAAAATCCTGTCACATATTTTAATGGGTGTTTTTTTCATATATCAGGCAATTAAGATCACTATAGCATGCAGATACCTAGTATTTTAGCTTATGGTAATAGACTTGATCTGTTATGTATTTTAATTTTTAGTTTATCGGAATAACTATATAAAATCATCTGTTTATGTGATGTGTGAGATTTTTTTTTACGACAAATGCCTTCTAAATTTTCAAAATTCTCGTTTTTTGCCACATGCTTCGGTTCAACGCATCTAAAGTGGGACATGCTCATGATCATCAAAATTTCTTGCAGGTCAACGAACAGCGAAAGTCACCGACAAAAAGAAAATTTCATTCATGTGTAAAGCAGAAGTGGTCAGTGCAGGAGAAATTTAACAATGTGCTCCATGACCACTCATATTCACAGGTCATTGCTTCACCTACAAAGTTAAAAAAATTAAATCTCAGCTTACAACATTTAAAAGCAGTAAGAAAACGACTCCGGCTTTGTCAAAAAAAACATATCGATTGCAAAAACATGTAAAATCTCTTGAAACGGTGCTAAAGTCCCTGAGAAAGAAAAACTTGGTGAGTGCTTCATGTGAAGAAAGTCTACAGCGATCTATACCTTCATCAATCTTCAATAGAATTTTAATGAATTTACAAACTGGAAAAGGCGTCAAATATCCCAAGGAGCTAAAAACTTTTGCTATGAATTTACAGTTCTATTCAAATAAAGCGTATCAATATGTGCGGAAAGTCTTAAATCTGGCTTTGCCACATCCGAGCGTAATAAGAAAATGGTACCAGAAACTTCCAGCTGAGCCTGGTTTCACAAAAATTGCATTTGATGCGATCCGGCTGAAGGTGAGTGCTGCATCGCACCCATTGATTTGTGCTATGATGATTGATGAAATGGCAATTAGGAAACATGTTGCTTGGGATGGAGAAAGGTATCGGGGCTTTGTTGACCTGGGAAATGCTGAAAATCAGGATGATTCTGCCCCACTTGCCAAGGAAGCTCTTGTTTTGATGGCTGTTTGTGTGAATGGGTCCTGGAAAGTACCTTGGGATATTTTCTCATTAATGGATTGACCGGAGAAGAAAGAGCAAACATCATAAAGATTGGGATTCAAAGATTGAGTGAAACTGGAGCCAAGGTGGTATCCTTAACTTGTGACGGGCCATCTTGTCATTTTTCAATGCTCTCTCATTTAGGAGTTGTTGCCTCGCATGTAAGCATGCAATCATATTTTACTCATCCTTCGTGCCCATCTGAGCGGATTTATGTTTTCATGGACGTTTGTCACATGCTTAAATTAGTCCGAAACACCCTTGCAGAGTGGGGTGTTTTGCGTGATGGCAATGGGAACAAAATTTTGTGGGAATATTTTGTGCAGTTGCAAAAACTCCAATCAACTGAAGGTCTTAGGCTTGCAAACAAGTTGAAGCAAAGACATATACACTGGTATCAACAAAAGATGAAAGTTGATATTGCTGCTCAAACCCTGAGCAGCAGTGTTGCAGATGCGATCGAATACTCTGATACGGTGCTGAAATTCAAGCAGTTTAGTGGAAGTCAAGCAACTGTAAAATTTATCAGAATTTTTGACCAGCTTTTTGATGTGCTAAATTCCAGAAATCCCTTCGCTAAACGATTTAAGGAGCCACTAAGACCTTCAAATAAGCATATTTGGGAACCATTCATGAATCAGGCATGTGCATACATTGCACAGTTGAAGGATTCTTCAGGAAGACCAATCTTGATGTCAAGAAGAAAAACTGGCTTTATTGGCTTTTTGTTATCTGTATCCAGTGCAAAAGGCGTGTTCAATGACTTGGTCACTTCAAAATATTTAAAATATCTTTTAATGTACAAATTTAGTCAAGATCATTTGGAACTCTTTTTCTGTGCTGTAAGAGGTGCTGGGGGATTCAATAATAATCCAACTGTGCAACAATTTACTTCTGCCTATAAACGACTGCTTATGATAAGTGGGGTAAAAGGCACAGGAGGGAACTGTGAGCCCCAGGATGCAACAAGCATTTTGAATGTTTTGGACAGCTTCAGTCTGACTAATCATAATATGAGTTTAAGCTCAGTATCTTTTATGAAGAAATATGACCTTGAACCACGGACTCCACTAACTTCTGACCATGACTATGCTGACATACCTAACACAATCAGGTTGTCAGAATACAAGCTTCAAATAATCAAATATATTGCAGGATTTGTTGCAAAGAGGCTGCGAGATACCATGTTTTGCATAAAATGCAAGGAGGCTCTCGTATCATCTACTGATCATACTTCAAGTTTAATATATTTTAAAAACCGTGGAGGATTAACAGTTCCGTCAGCAAGTGTTATAAAAGTTTGTAGAGAAACTGAAAAATGTTTTCAAAGAATATTAGCTACCTCTGGAGGTAGACTGCCCCAATCCACTGGGCTCATCAATGCTATCGTTATTGCAGTGCAAGATGGTTTAATCGATAAGCCTATTTTCCCGACCTTGTAAACCACTGGCGCGATACAGGGTTTGGTGATTGCCATATTAGTTTGATGGTGAAGGCCATTATTAAAGCATA